ACCGCCAGGATAGAGGGATATCACAAGGGCCATTAAAAAAAAAAAAAAAAAAAAAAAAAGGAAAAAATTTTGGAAATTTTTCAGAAAAAGGTTTAGAAAAAGGAAAAAAGGGGCCTGGGCCAGCCAAAAAAAAAAAAAAAAAAAAAAAAAAAAAAAAAAAAAAAAAAACACTTTGAAAACTTTTCAGTAAAAGTTTTAAATACAGCAAAATATTGTCCCTTTCCTTCCAAAAAAAAAAAAAAAAAAAAAAAAAAAAAAAACAAAAAAAAACTGTGCCGGTGCATTTTGGGCCTTTTGGCACTGGTGCTTTTTTTTTTTTTTTTTTTTTTTCCTGCCGCACTGCAGAAATCCTCTCGTTGGGAAAAAGATGCTCGGAAGTACTGGTGGTTTAATCACCTCTCGTTTTTTTTTTGTTTTTTTTGTTTTGTTTTTTTTCTGGTGGTTCAATCAGATTCTGTGATAATTCCTATTCTGTTTTTTTTCAGCCTTTGTGTTCCTAGTTTCACGGCCCGTCCTTTTTTAACCTTTTTTTTTTCCAAGGGAAAGGGAGAGGGGAGGGTTGGTTGAGGGATTGTTAATCTGACGGTGGGGACCACCTCATTTTTTGGCTCTGTGCAGCAAAACAATATATTTTACAGGAAGCAGCATGAGATTTTAGTCCGCGCCGCCGACATCATCCATGAGTGTGGCGGAAAGCTCGTCTCGCTGACTGAAATTCCGGGCTTCTATTCATCGGGAATGGCAGGAAATGGTGCACTTCCGTCCTCAGCTCAAATCAACCTCTCTCCAAGGAAGCCGTCCTAGTTAGTAACCAGCAATTAGTACTAATTATTTTTTAAAATTTTAACTAAGTAGTAAATACATTTTTATTTTTTTTAATATTTTTCTGGTTGGAACAGTTTCACTAACTTTCACACTAGCAAATGGTAGAAACTAGATGTACTTCCTGTTTCTATTTTTCTAATTTATTTCAAAAGAAAAATGAATTTATGGATGATCATGGTCCCACCACACCAGTGACTCTTTTTTTTTTTTTTTTTTTTT